CAAAACCAGCACACGGCCTTAAGGGCTGGCCGCTTGCAGGCTGTCCCTGGGTTGCTGAGCACGGAGTGACTATTCTAGCAGTTGGGTCCCTTTACAAGAGAACTTGTTTTTCTTTCCTCAGAACCAGCCACTTGAGCTCTGATTAACCAACGCTTTGACTTGTTCTATCTTGATTTTAAATAGTTTGAGGCTATTGTCAGCCTCAAGGCAGATTTTGCTAATGAACAAATTTGACAAACACATTCTTCTGGAGGTTTGACTTGGAAATGCCTTTGCCTACCTTCCAGCAGCCCAGAAGTGTGGCTGCTCACTTGTTTTTCACTCAGGTGCTGAAAGTCAACTCAAGAATGGCAACGTCTCTATTTCTCCCTCTCTAACTCTGCCCTTCAGAAAAAATTAAACAAAAAGGAAGGAAGGAAGGAAGGAAGGAAGGAAGGAAGGAAGAGAGAGAGGGAGGGAGAAAGAGAGAGAGAGAGAGAGAGAGAGAGAGAGAGAGAGAGAGAAAGAAAAGAAAAGAAAAGAAAAGAAAAGAAAAGAAAAGAAAAGAAAAGAAAAGAAAAGAAAAGAAAAGAAAAGAAAAGAAAAGAAAAGAATGGGAATGTGTTTGCCAGGCTTCCCACTGTGGACAGGTTGGACGCCTAGGAGTCAGTGCCCTGCAGAGTTTCCATTTGAGCCTGAACTTGTAAGCGGGTTCAGCTCACCAGCACTTCTCCCAGGGTGGACACGGCTGCACAGATAGCATCGTAAATGAGGGCTAAGGAAGAACGCTTCATTGAAAGCATCATAAACAAAGGCTGAGGGGTCACCTTGACAGTTTCCGTAGAGCAGGCAGTGCTCCTCATGGCCGCGGAACTGCAGGACCCCCGCCCCCCGAAAACCTCCTACCTACTGTATTTATTACCGAATAGGGACAATATCAGTTTCTTTATCTCATGAGTCTGCCTTGTACTTGCAAAGTATTTTGACATGCTTATATGAAAATACTTATTAGGCTAGAGAGATATGAATTATTACTGTAAGTTATAAGCATAAGTGAAGATTCTAACTCCCCAAACACTCAATTCTTTCTCATATGTGTAAAACAGAATATTTTAATAAATATCACATATTCATGAATCAAAGCTAAATGTTCATTCATCTCAAGTGCATACAGTTAGTGGACACGGGAGATATAAAGATGCATAAGACAGTCCTAGATGTCAGTGAGCTTGCAATCTATAAGGGGAGAAATGGGGAAAAAGTATGTATAAAATATGTATTGAGTATAAAAACTTAGATAAGAATCAGAAAGATGTAGAAGGCACTCTGTTGTTGATCGCCCTTGGAAACGCAATTATCCAAGGACTATGGCTCAAAGGAAGGAGAGTCCACTCCCAGCAGTGGGAAAGAAGACTGAAGAAAAACAAGACAGCAGCCGGGTCTGGAGGGCTGAATCCACTGAGACAGAGGGAGTCCTTGTGGGTGGGAGGAGCCTGGTGAGACAGAGTGCAGATGCAGAAAGCAAAGACCGCAGATCCAGAGGGGAGAAAACAAAAGGACACAGAACTGCCAATTACAGTGACACAGAGAGCCCTGCCCTGAGACTGTGCCTGCTGTGAGAGACACCTAGAACCGGCCTGAGGAGGGCTCTGCATGCAGCATTGAGGACCTGGCATTTCTGAACAGGAGAGCATCCTGGTGAAATCAGGATTTTAGACCCATTAATTCGGCTGTCATGTGCAGGATTAAATACAGCAAGGAGGACCAAAGGCAGGGAGACCAAACGGCCCGTGGCAAGTCCAGGTGTGGGGTGAGGGCAGAGGGATGGGACGGGAAGTGGAGTAGGAAACCCGAGGAAGCACGGCGCTACCTCTCCAGGGCGCTGATGAGCATTCATTGTGGGAACTTTCTGTTATTCTCGAAAGTAATGTCAAACATATGTGTTCCAGAGAACTGATCTTCCTCACAGTTGCCAAGCGGGGAGTGAGGAAATCAAAGATTGTTCATTCACTTGTAACATCTAATACCTGTGTAGGTGGAAGCTATGGTTTGAATATGATTAGCCCTCACCAAAACTCAGGTTCAGGTTTCATTGCCAATGTAATGGTGTTGAGAGACAGTGGACCCCCTAAGAGATGGTTAGGGTTGGGGTCATGGGGCTCTGCCCTCCTGAAAGGATGACTGTAGTTCCCTGGAGAGCGTGCTAGCTGTGCTGAGAGTGGGCTGTCGCAGAGCAAGGCGCCCCCTTGTGCTCGCTCTTCTGTGAGTACTTGGACTCACCCCACGCCATACCATCAGCACAGTACGACACAGCACCAGATTCTCGCCAGATGTGGCCACCAGATCTCGAACTTCAACTCTGAGCCGTGAGCCAAACTAAACCTCTTATTTTTATAACATCCTTAATCTCAGTCTGTTTTAGCAGAATAGTTGATACCTGGAAACCCTTCTTGATCTTATCTAAGTACAAAAAGCTAGCTGAAAAAAAAAAAAACACTTTTTAAAAATAAAGCACCATGAAATGTAGAATTCAAGGAGCGAGCTAACTCTAGTTGAACACCGACTATCCCAAAACTCTTCTCAGGACCCTAATCCTAACCCCAAGTGAAAGAGAGCCCTGAGAATTCCCAGGACCCTGCTTTACTTGCATCCCTGCGAAGCAGCCCCTGTTAGAATACCCTTTGCTTTCGGTGTCTATAATTCCATGTACGTATTTGTGGTGTCTCTGAATGAGTAGGGGAGAGAGCCAGGAGAGAGGTTTCCGGCCATGCTGATGCCCAGGACGTTCGTGCAAGTAACCACACAGTGAAGTCACCTGCACCCGGCTTCTGCGCCAGCCCCTGCACCCACAGTCAGGCCTTCTCGCCGTGTTGCGCCCTGCGCCCTGGCCCTGTGCGGGCACTTGAGGTTGACACACTCTATTCCAGTAGCAGCACTTGGCAGGAGGATTGCGCCGGGTAGACAGCAGCTTTCCCCACACTCCCTGCACCCCACCCAGCACTCAGAGCCCTTTCCTGGGCAGCATCAATTTCCACTCCACCCAATCCCTTGGCTATTTTAATACCACCCCTTAGCTCCCCCTCTCACCGGGCCAAAGGGAGGACTTGCAAGGAGTGGAGTCACTAAGGGCCCGGTCTCCTTCCTCCCTCTTTCCAGCTCCTCTCTTCCTGACTCCCCCACATCAACCTCCCCAAGTTGGCAAAACTGGGCTGAGTCCAGGGCAGGGGTGAATAAACAAATTAATCACTCCCGGGTTGTAGGAATGCTTCGATGATCATGCTTAGGCCTAAAGCAAATTCATGTGTTTGCATTTCTCTAGTCTCAAGAAGCTGGTGCAAACGGTCTGACGTCTGCACACGTAACAAGCATTCCTTTTTGTTCGCCTCTCTCTGGCAAGGTAGGAGCACGGTTTTGGGCCCTGGTGGATGCTCTTTCTAGATGCTGTTCTTTTTATTCTAACGCCGTAAAGATGTGTGAGCGTTATATAACACGTTCATGATGATCGGGAGCTGTTTACTTCACAAGGATCTAATTAAAGGTTTTTTGTTTATTTTCAGGCCTGAGCTAAGTTCCTTACCAGGGCCAAATTAGAGAAAGGGCTTGCTTCCCTCTGCCCTGTGTGCTCCTGGCCCCACCATTCCCCCTCTCCTCCATATAATCCACCTACAACTAGGTTAACAACCCTCTAACCCTTAAATGAACCCATTTGCCAACTCAGAAACCACTGGTATAACTTTAAATGCTTTGGGGTTTTAATCCCCTTGAGGATTTATGTTTTTTTTTTTTTCTCTCTCTCTCTCTCATCCCTTCAAAACTAACCCCAGAGTTGCAAGAATCTGGGAACTTGGGCAAAGGAACAAACCGCCACCCAGACCAAAAAATCCAAAATCCCAGTTCATTGCTTCAACCAAAACTGTCAGTGCCTCAGAGTCTGCAATCCACACTGCCCTGAGTATAAAAACCTGCGTGCAATAACTCACAAAATGCAGGTGTTGTGACTGAATGTGGGAAGCCTAAAGCGTCAGTGGAGGTGGTCTGTCTGCGTGCGCGTTAACATGCGTGTTTCCCTAGCCTCTCCCCTCACGGCGTGGACACACACTGTTGCATCACGCGCAGGGGCTAGGAAGTGTGTGTTTTTCCAGCTCAGCCTCCGCGTTGGCTGCTGGATGCAGCAGCCTTCGCCCCTGCTACATCTCCTGCACCCGAAGTACAACAGACGCTTCCTCGCAAGCGCCGCACCCGCGCAGAGACAGGTGCGCGGTTTGCTCCCGCAACGCGCTGTGCTGCCAAGTTTCCTCTCCCTGCTAACACCCACCTCCGATCTCGCAGGGCTGGCGCGACGCAGGTTGGCCCGGTGCCCCCTTGGCGGAGGAAGGACTCTACACACCCAAGAACCAATCTCCTCCAACCCTGGCGGACAAGACCGCCCGAGGCGCCCAGGAGCCGTGAGGATGTCAACGTTCGCCGCCCCCTAAGGGAGCCGGCGCCCAGTGCTGCGGGGAATCCGGACAACGGAGGTAGAGGGGATGCGGGGGTGGGCAGAGCGGGGCAGCGGGAGGGAGCCGAGCGCGGGAGGGGGCGGGGACGCGGCCGGGAGCCGGGCGCCCTAGGCGGCGCAGGGGAACTGGGCGCTGGAGCGGGCGGGCGCAGGAAAGGGAGCGCTCGGCGGAACCCGCGGGCGCCCGAGAGGCGCTGGCTGGACGCTCTGCCCCGACTCCCCCGAGCCGCTCAATCGCCGGTAGGAGGGGGTGCGGGGAGTCGGGGTAGCAGGGAGTGGGGAGGCAGAGAAGGGGGCGTGCCCTCGCCCCGATTGGCTGCAGGAGCCTGACGCCAGGCCCCGGGGGCCGGCTCGGGAGGTGGGAACGGGGGGTGGGTGCTGGGTGCCGGGGCCGCGGGCCCCGCGCGCTCAGAAACATGCTGAGGTCCCGGCGGCTCTGCCAGCAGCGGCAGCGGCCCCAGCAGCAGCGGCGGCGGCGGCGGCGGCGACAGCGCTCGGCGGCTGCGGGGAGGGCGCCCGGAGCCGATGCCTCGGGCTCCGCGCCGCAGCTGCCCTGACCTGGCCGCGACCTCCGACAGCGCGCCCCGCCGGCACGGCCTCTCGGAGGGCTCCCCAGCCACGGCCCAGCTCCGCCACACCCCCCGCCCCCGGCCTCCGCAGCTCGGGATGAGCGCGGGGGCGCTCGCCCTGGGCGCCTCCGAGCCCTGCAACCTGTCGTCCGCCGCGCCACTGCCCGACGGCGCGGCCACGGCGGCGCGGCTGCTGGTGCCCGCGTCGCCGCCCGCCTCGCTGTTGCCTCCCGCCAGCGAGGGCCCCGCGCTGCTGTCGCAGCAGTGGACGGCTGGCATGGGCCTGCTTATGGCGCTCGTGGTGCTGCTCATCGTGGCGGGCAACGTGCTGGTGATCGTGGCCATAGCGAAGACACCGCGGCTGCAGACGCTCACCAACCTGTTCATCATGTCCCTGGCCAGCGCCGACCTGGTCATGGGGCTGCTGGTGGTGCCCTTCGGGGCCACCATCGTGGTGTGGGGCCGCTGGGAGTATGGCTCCTTCTTCTGCGAGCTCTGGACCTCGGTGGACGTGCTCTGTGTGACGGCCAGCATCGAGACCCTGTGTGTCATTGCCCTAGACCGCTACCTCGCCATCACGTCGCCCTTCCGCTACCAGAGCCTGCTGACGCGCGCGCGGGCGCGGGCCCTCGTGTGCACCGTGTGGGCCATCTCGGCGCTCGTGTCCTTCCTGCCCATCCTCATGCACTGGTGGCGGGCCGAGGGCGACGAGGCGCGCCGCTGCTACAACGACCCCAAGTGCTGCGACTTTGTCACCAACCGGGCGTACGCCATCGCCTCGTCCGTGGTCTCCTTCTACGTGCCGCTGTGCGTCATGGCCTTCGTGTACCTGCGGGTGTTCCGAGAGGCGCAGAAGCAGGTGAAGAAGATCGACAGCTGTGAGCGCCGCTTCCTCAGCGGCCCCGCGCCCGAGCCAGGGCCCCCGCGCCCGGACCCCGGCTCCAGCCCCGGCTCCGGCTCCGCGGCCGCGCTGGCCAACGGGCGCCACAGCAAGCGGCGGCCGTCGCGCCTCGTGGCCCTGCGCGAGCAGAAAGCGCTCAAGACGCTGGGCATCATCATGGGCGTGTTCACGCTCTGCTGGCTACCGTTCTTCCTGGCCAACGTGGTGAAGGCCTTCCACCGCGACCTGGTGCCCGACCGCCTCTTCGTCTTCTTCAACTGGCTCGGCTACGCCAACTCGGCCTTCAACCCCATCATCTACTGCCGCAGCCCCGACTTCCGCAAGGCCTTCCAGCGCCTGCTCTGCTGCGCGCGCCGGGCCGCCCGCGGGTGCCATGCGAACCCCCACGCCCGGCCGCGCGCCTCGGGCTGCCTCGCGCGCGCCGGACCGCCACCGTTGCCCGGGGCAGCCTCGGACGAGGAGGACGACGACGTCGGGGCCACGCCACCCGCGCGCCTGTTGGATCCCTGGGCAGGCTGCAATGGTGGGGCGGCGGCGGCGGCGACGGCGGACAGCGACTCGAGCCTGGACGAGCCGTGCCGCCCGGGCTTCAACTCCGAGTCCAAGGTGTAGGGCCCAGCGCGCCCCCCGCGTCCGGGACGCGCGCCCTGTGCCCGGGGAGGAGGAGCAGGAGAGCTCGCCCGGGGAACCGCGGGGTGCGGGTGGAGGGGAGAGGAGGTGGGTGTTTACCAACGGCGGGTGACCGCATTGTCCAGGGCAGACAGAAAGGCCGCGGGGCCTTTGCCCAGGATGGAAGGTTTGGGGAACGGGTGGGAGAGTGGCTTGCCCAGTTTTCTGCGTGCGTTTTCTGTCTGTGTTGGGCCTCGGGTGCGTGCGTGTGATGCCTCTGGGGAATTTTTCTTTCTTTCTTTCTTTCCAGGTGGTTTTTGACACTTTCTGCGACGGGGACTGGAGTGCAGGTGGGGTGGGTCGAGGGAGGGGAAGGAAGAAGCAGCAAGAGATGAAAATACCCGCTTGGCTTCTATCCCGCTGCCGGGAACTCGCGCAGTCAACCAGAGAGGGAGGCTAGGACGGCTTGTCAGGACGGTTTCCTTTTGCTTCCCAGAGGGATTTCGTGGTCATTCCCGAGTAGTGATTTCTCCTTTCTTGAAGCGAAGGGAGAGGATGGATGCCTAACAGTCAGGTTTTCGGATGTTTTCAGCAGCGCTCGGAACACGTTTCTCCGCGCCCCGAGCCCTGGGCGCCCCCCTGGTCAGGTTGAGGGCTGTCTACCTCACACTGTGCGCGACGCACAGCAAGATAGGAAGACTTGTTTATATTAAACAGCTTATTTATGTATCAATAGTCGTGGGAAGGACCAGGCGTTGTGACATGTGACTCTGTCCATTGAAGACAGGACAGAAGCAGAATTTAAAAAGAAGAAAAAGGGAGGGAGAAAAGGAAATAGTTCAGATTACTGCACATGTGGATACAAACACATAAAAAAGAAGTGGTTCAAGACGCCATTTTTGCACAGTGTTAGGAATCATAAAGTCCACAGATGATGTTACTTGCACAAAAAGAAATGAAATATTTTTTAACGGGGTGGGGGGGAGAGCTTAAAAACTCGAATAAAATTCGAATTCTACTTCTGTTGTCTATTATGTTATTGAGCTAATGATTTATTGGGGAAATACCTTTTTATACTCTTTTATCATGGTACTGTAACTGTATCCATAGTATAAATATTATCTTAAGGATTTTTTAATTATTTTTTTATGTCCAAGTGCTCACGTAAACCTGCTGGTAAAATCTAGCCCTTGTGTGTAAATTCTACTTCCTCTTGTGTGTTTGACCAAGTATTTATACTCCAGTGCAACTAACTACTGTGTGAGGAATTGGTCCATGTGCAATAAATACCAATGAAGCACAATCAAGATTATGTACCGTGTGTCTGTAAGGGGTCAGTGACAATGAACAAGACAGTCTGTCTCCTTCCAAATAGAGACTGCATTTCTCATAGAGCTCTTTTAATAGCTTTTCATGACTCAATAACATAGCGAAATGCCTCTAGACCAAATAAGGCGCTCACCTACTGAGAGCTGCAGATTTGCCCTCAATTTTCACAGTCGGATTCAAGGTATCCCAGACGACTCGGAGGTGCTTTGGAGATTCCATCTGTTGCTCTCAGCTGCGGGCTTGTGTGTCTTCTGAAAGAATCTAAGTGACTGGGCCAGGGTAACTCCGCTGCCACTCTGCCCAGAAACACAGAGAACAGATGAATCCACGGTGCAAGCAGGTGCCTACTTGAGATGCGGTAAGTGGCTCCCACAGCTTATTTTTGCTTTCCCATGGAAAATCGCAGCCTACAGTCGATCTGTGTGTGCAGGTTTCTGCAGTGGCTGCCTAGAGTGAGAAATGCTTTCACGGTTAAGCAGCAGTGCACAAAAGGGCTTTCAAAGTATTATTTCCTTTTGTGCAATTAAACAGTTACAGCAGAAGTTCTGGGTGCGCAGGTCACAAAGGAAGGCAACTGGGAAGTCAAATGACTTCTTAAAGACGTGACGATACCCAAGGGACAGGGTGATTTCATGATTGGAGTTCCTGAGGAGGCTCTCCTGAAATCCCATCCTGAGATTCACTGTGTCGCCTCCCAAATCAGCTATTCATTCAAGTACTTCTCTTTATGTTTCTGAGCGAATTTTATTTCATAGCTGTAAGGTAAAGAAACCAAGGGAAAGGGTACAAAGTGTGGGTCCAGGCTGCACCTTAGCATGAAGATTATTCTCTACTAGGAAAAGTTACAACTGATTCTCTCTCTCTCTCTCTCTCTCTCTATCAATTTTCTAAAGCCAGGAGCCCATCTTCCAAGAAAGGTGAATGATGCCACGTTTTAGGGACCACTAGTACGGACTGCAGGAGCTGCTACAAGGTTTAACCTGCTATGAGGTTTAACCCCCTTTCTCCAAATACAGAAAAAGAGAAAAGATGGGGAGAGCGGGATACCCAGATGGGAGGTACCCAGATGATAAAGGGCTTTTGAAAGGAAGCAAGGATAGATATATAAAAGGACAAATTCTGAAGAATGTAAAATGAATGGCAGGAGGAAGTGTCACTAGGAACTAAGTAGTCCATCTCTCCCTCCCCTCCCCACCCCATGACGCTGTAAGATACGTTTTGTCAGGGATTTGTCCCTTCATACTTTTGGTTTTATTTTTAATAGACTTGATGTCTTCAGTTTCCTCTGAAGAATACTGACGTACCGGGTTAATGCTTCACTTTCCTGGTTTCCTGATGATTTACTTATTTTGTCCGGATAGATTCTCACATTGAAATAAAGCAAACTTCCCAGCCCCAAATGTACATCTGGCCCATCAAACTTCAGTTCTTAGAACGATGGACGGCCTTTTAAACATTGAGAACAAACATGTGTAACTTAAAGTCTCCAGCAGGCAGGGTTAGTGTCTTCAGTGAGTTAGGGGAAACCACTTTAATCCTGGAACCAGCTTATATGCTTTGGTAAGAAATAGAAAGAGATGTTTGGATAATCCCCTGAGTTCTTTGAAGATTACAAGGACTCGGAAACAGCCTGTGTCAGTGATTCTGAATACACGGGAAAACTACTTTTTGACATTTTTAAAGAAGACTGCCATTGATGTATAATAGGAGAGGTGGGGAGCCGGGCGTCCAGTCCCAATAGCCACGGTGGTGGGATATCTATCCTTGGGGGTGGGCCGGTGCCCTGTGGAAATGGCAAGAGGAGGGCCATGGGCAGGCAGCAAGTCAGCCTTACCCAATGGTTTGTGTATAACCAAGTACCAGTGGCGAAAATCTTAAAGCAGAGAACTTAAATTATGAGTGAGTGTGATTCACTTACCTTCAGGCTGAGCCTAAGCATAATGTGTTCTCCAGCGTGTCTCCATCCAGGGTTCCCAGGATACATAAATTCTGCCTCTGGTGTAGAAGTGTATCACTGATATGCGATATAGCGTGGGCCTTGTGTGAACTAACTTTGCAAAAGAGAGTTTCTTTCTTTTTGGTCCGAGCTTTCTTTGGAACTAGAATTATTAATAACTTCTAAGTGGCTATTGTGAAACCTTTCCTTGTCAAGTACATTTCCTAGCTTGTTTTAGTTTCACGTTTTGTTGAATGTGCTGACTTCCTCTGACAAAATGTAATATTGCCAGGAGGAAATTCTGCACCCAAAGTTTCAGGGTAATATTAACATTGAAGTTTTTACCAAGAGTTTCTAAGCAGAGGTCTAAGGAAAAATTACTCTAAAACTTTTGCTACCAGTTGTGAAAGACTTAAAAAAATTTTTTTTTGACAAAGCTGGATCCATTCGTTCTTTTGAAGGAAAAAAATGAAAACCTTAGCAGTAATTCAAATGAAACACATTGGCACGGATACTGTAGTTTTATTTGTACGTTTCTGGCATAATGTGCTGAGAAACCTAATTCTCTTGACTTCCTGCCAAGTTTCTACTAATCAAAATGGAGAAGATATGCACTGTTTGGATTATACCTAAAAATAGTTGTGCTACAGTCACATCAGCAAATGGAATTAAATTAATTTCTCTTTCTTCCCCTTCACACACACCCTCCACATTATGTAAATGTCCATCTATAAGGATTGTTTCATGATTTTTGATTCAGTGTGTACCAAATCGTTGCTACACTGCAATGATTTTTAAGCAAACTCCTTTGAATTACCCCCAGGATACCTACCCCCCTCCTGAAATACCCATGAGTACCCTCTCTCATTTAAAGACTTTCTTGTGGGCACAATCAAAGAGGTGTTCCTACTGTAGAGACTTTGTGGGTCAATCTAGTTCATCAGTAATCATTTTATGCTTTTGTGGGAGGAGGGGGTAGCTTCTAAATCAATCACGTTTGGTCATTTGATCATGGAGCAGGTAAGAGGCTTCCAAATCCAGCGGTCAAGTGACAGAAAAAGTCCAGCAGCCTCTAAGAGCTCACACCGTGCCTGCAACTTAGCGCGTGATCTTGGCTATGGTGGTGTCGATGCACAGGGAAGCACTGGCAGCGGCTGCCTTTAAACTTTCCCTTCCCTTGGATGTGAGCAAAGATCACAATTCCACTGTCTGATCCTGAAGCCAATTCTGGGAGCCACCATAGCCCTTGTCTGGGAGCATTCTTCGGTTCTTCTTGAACGACCTGGAAACATCTAGAACACTTAGTTCTAGATAAATTCTCTTCCTAGCAGCACTAGGTTCTCACAAATGGCTTCCCAGAACTCTGTCTCTCAACGCATGAAAAGCCTGTTTCTCTCTCTCCACCTTTCTTACAGCTCACAGCTGTAATCAGTAGTAACAGGATCACACTATTCCTATTTGTGACACAAAACTTACTTACGATGCACTGTAAATGTCAAGTTGGAATTCCTTCCCAAGAATTTCAGTATTGCTCATAATTATGAACCAACTCCAAGCGGGAAGTAGTTTAAGCTATTGTTTGTACTTTTTCCTATACAAGGTTTTCATTGTGAGTTTAAAATTAGGGGTCTGAGGCCATTCTAACGGGCTTTATTTTTCTGGCACTGCTACTTCTTAACCATATGACCTTGTCAGTGTTTTGGTATTCTGATTTCAAAGGGTGACATTAGTTATTCCATCTGCAACTAAATTAAAGTAGTTTTCCTGGTTATTATTAGGCTGGTCGATTTGTGGGAATTGTGGGTACCTGTAAGGAGAACAAAATGATGACCACTTCGGACATTCTGGCTCCTTCTCAAACTATAGTTCCTGCTGTGTCCAGTGACCTTGGGCGAGTCAATCCCTTTCCTTGTAGTTCAGGTTCACGGTCCACAGAACCTGAGCAGTAGCCTTTGTGTGTAAGTCCCTTGGAGGTGCCGTGATAGGAGATCTTTACTTTGCCAAGTCTATCATTTCCACTAATTGCTCTCGACCTCCTTTTCTCTTTCCTAGCAACTCCACCCACAAAAATCCCTGGGTTGTTTTAAGTGAATAGAACAATTAATAATAGCAACGATATATATATAATACCCCATGCATCCAAACAAATGGTCCTTCATTTTTTATTGCACTTAAAATTCCACAGAAACCACAACTGAATAAAATAATCTTCCCAAACATCAGATTAAAAAACCTGTTTGCTATGTGCTGAGCAAAAACAGTTGTTTGATGAGTCTTTACCTACAGTGGTTTTGAGAAAAGTGAGTCAACCTGGAAATTACTCAACTCCGTGATTTTGTGTTGATTTGTAAATGCTAAGAACATCTATCTAGATTATTCTCTTTTTTTGTCAGAATAACAATTCAGAGATGAAAGGCGCTGAGAGCCATAGGAATTTGTATTTTTGCTTACCTCTCTTTTGTGGCTTGTAGGATATTGAGTTTCTGTGTTCCCAACTTAATAAACAGTGACAAATCTACAGGAACTTCACTGCCTAAAATATCTATTATGTTAACTACAGGAACTCACCTGCAATCTTGAGGTCTTTGTTTAAAAAATTATTTTAATGAATAAACATTAGTGGAAGTTCCAATAACTCCAGGTTTTTTTTTTAAGCTATTAAAGATAACATTTTGGTAGGCTGCTCTTTTCTCTCTCTCTCTCTCTCTCTCTCTCTCTTTTTGAAGATTTATTTATTTGAAAGATTGAGTTACAGAGAGGCAGAGGCAGAGAGAACTAGGTATTCCATCCACTGGTTCACTCCCCAGATGCCGCGACAGCTGGAGCTGAGCAGATCCAAAGCCAGGAGCCAGGAGCTTCTCCTGGGTCTCCCACATGGGTGCAGGGGCCCAAGCACTTGGACCATCTTCCACCACTTTCCCAGGCCATAAGCAGGGAACTGGATCAGAGGAGGAGCAACCAGGACTGGAACCGGCACCAAAATGCTCTTTGTAAAGACCTCATCGTGCTTAAATGATTCTGGGATCAATCCTGAGGTGATGT